ACATCTGAAATTGCCCCACTTTAAATGCGTTGAAAAGTACTTTTAGTTTTGTTCGGTTGGCAGCAGAAATTTACTAAATATGACGTCATCCTAAATATAACGTAAAAAGCCTATACCATTCTCTATTTTTGAATATTAGAAGCGTCTTTTTTCTTTGGTACAATCCATACAGGTGATGACCAAGGACCGCAAGATGGTTGTATAATGTTATCTTCTACAATTTTTTTAATTTGTTTGTTGACTTCTGTTTTATGGACATATGGATATCGATATGTTTTAGTATGTATCGGTATCTCATCAGTGGTTTTTATCTGATTTTTCATCTGATTAGTAAATGTTCATTTGTCATTAGATTTGTAAAATATTTTGGGGAAGGCTTGTATTAATTGCTGTAAAGCTTTAAATTCTTCTGAATTCAAATGTTCCGTATATTTTACAGGGTAATTTTCATAGTTATAATCTGGCGATAAAGTTACTTCTTCTAAATTAAACAAAGTAAAATTATTGTCGTCGTGAACTGTGCTTATTTCTTCAAGTTCATCTATACAGTGAGCACGTAAAGGTTGGAATAAAATCCATAAAATATACAGGGTTGATATTTTTCAAAAAACCTCGGACACGTCGATTTTTGATTTTAATGGCCATTTTTTAGATGATGATTTCATGTATACAGGGTGACCCAAATACAAGTTATGACTGCTAACTTTATTTTTTTAAATAAAAACACCAATTTTTTTTATTTCATTTTCAAATTTTACGTTAAATTCTGAACCTTTTTTATATTATATCATATCCTATATACCTATCTTCAACTGTTTCGGAAATATTGATAGTTGAAAATTGACTTTTTTTAAATTTGACAGGTTGTAAAATCTAAACGGTTAATTCTACAGCAAAATTGGTTAAACATTCTCATTTTTAGTATTTCATAAGCTATCACTTGACACCAACTTTGAATTTAATTGGAGATTTACTTTAACCGGAATTTTTGATCATGGATTAAAAAAAAAAAAAGTTGGTGTCACATGATAGTATATGGAAAACTAAGACAAGCTTGTATCATAGGTTTTGCTCTCAAATTAACCGTTCTGGTTTCACAGCCTGTCAAAGTTGCAAAATAGTCAATTTTCAACTGTCAATATTTCCGAAACAGTTGAAGATAGGTATAGGACATGAAACATAAAAAATGTTCAGCATATAACGTAGAATTTGAAAATAAAATAAAAAGTTAGTGTTTTCATTTGAAAAAATAAAGTTAGCTGTCATAACTTGTTTTTGGGTCACCCTGCATACATAAAATTATAATCTAAAAAACGGCCACTAAAATCAAAAATCGACGTGTCCGAGGTTTTTTGAAAAATATCAATGCTGTATATTTAATGGATTTATTTTTCTGGATCACGACAGTTGATGATTGATATGGTTTTGAATAATTGGGAATCAGTAATCAGTCAGTATCAATATAGATTTATTAACTCTTTTAACAAATGCCTAGTTTTCGAAGCATTTTGCTTCTTTTTCAGGGCTATAATATAATATAAAATAAATAAAAATGAGTATAAAATAAATTGAAAATAAAATAAAAATTATAAACTTTTTTTTTAACATACCTTGTAGTGAGTTTATGGTTTGTTCTTGTTTTTTTTTTTTGTGTTTTATCATTTATAGGATGATATCGGGTCTTCAAAAAAAAAATCAATCAAAGATTGCTATGGTTTTTAAAACGTATGTCTTAGCAATATTTTTCTTTAATTTTATCAATAAACTTTATTGTCAAAATGTCCTGTCAAAAATCCTGACCAATGAAAAAACAATAATGCGACATACGTTTTCGTATTCAAAGCAATCTTTGATTGGTTTTTTTTTTTTGAAGACCCGATATAATTTTTGTAAAAAATTAATATGAAGGTATAATATAAAAGATGCTACCTATAAGTGATTGATAAACTTGACAAATTGAAGAAGGTAATAAAGCGGTAAACCATAAACTCACTACAAGGTATGTAAAAAAAAAAGTTTATACATAAACTATATTTTTTTTTAAAGATAATTCCCCAAGTCAAAAATTTAGTAACTATGTTGGCAACACAAGCCTTTTCTACATAAAAATTTTCACTTTTCACCAGTATAATATGTTGGACGAGCAGCTCTCGAAGCGCAGTACGGCTGGAACACGAACTCGCGCTTGAAGCATTTGCGCGCGCAAAAGCTCGATTGCGTGCTCAAAATGGTTAGCTGGAAAGGGGCTTTTGATTCCAAATTTTCACCCATTGTGAATAAAATATGGGAAAATTTTTTCAAAATTAAAAGAAAAAATTAAATGAAATTCAAAAGCAAACATTATTTTGGCCCTTTTCAGTAAATCAATGATTATACAAAAGAACTCAAAATTCCTTAAATATGAAACACCAATCACAAAATATAGAAATGAAGGGATTACTTACTACGCGATGCAATAACTGTAGCCCTTTTCCACACGTTGATTCTTTCAATATTTCTTATTACCAGTTAATTCAGTTGAATGAGAAGTGGACATCAAACTGAACCCATTCACTTAATCCAGAGTTTCACTGATAATCCAATGTCCATTGACGACCGGGTTCCAGTTTTCCGAAACTTTTCGCGGCGATTTAAATGTCTAGCTTTTCTCAGTTTGATCGCACTCTGAGAATCCAAAAATCCGCACGACGGCGCCAATTATATTTTCGAATCAGGAACTTAACTTTTTGAAAACAAAAAATAAAAATGTTGTTAAGTGACATACGAAAATGGGTGGAACTAATTACTCGGACAATGTCTGAAAATAATAGAACGCTCCCGCTTGATTGACATTGCTTTTATATAATTATATTGCTGAATAAGCAACTATGTTGTTTACCAACTTATAATGTATGCTAAAAAGCGGTGGGAATTAAATATACTGCTAAAAGCTAGTAAAAAAAGTAAACAACCATATTTGTAAGGGATTTGAACAATATAACTGGTATGCATTAACAACGGTTTTAAATAACACTCCTAATAGCATTACTTTGGATATGTCTGAATCCATATAGACGTAAAAAAATTTAATATCAAGGAAATACAGGAAACTGACAATTTTGATGAAACGCCAAGGTCGCCCAAATTAGACTTTTCCAAGTTTCGCATCGACCATCTCGACGAAGAAGAAAAGCACAAAATTCTGGCAATGAATGAAAAATATTCTGACATATTTTATAACGAAGACGAACCGACATCTACTAATAAAATTAGACACATAATAAGGACATCAGACGAAATACCAGTCTATAGTAAAACATACCGCTATCCATCTATATAAAGAAATTAAAAAAAAGATGCTGGACCAAAACATAATCAGACCAAGTAGTTCACCCTGGAATGCACCGATTTGGCTTAGTCTCGAAGAAAGCCGATGCCTCTGGAAGGCAAAAACTAAGAGTAGTTTGCGATTTTAGGGGCCTTAATACAAAAAACTTAGATGAAAGATACCCATTACCCAACATACCGGATTTCTTGGACAAGCTGGTACGCTGCTAGTATTTCACCACCTTAGATTTAGCTAGAGGCTTCCACTAGATCCAGGTGCATGACAACGTCATCGAAAAAACCGCATTCAGTACAGAAAACGGGCAAAATGAATTCTTGCGTATGCCCTTTGGTTTGAAGAACGCGCCGGCTACATTCCAAATAGTTGTTTTTAACATTATTCTTTGTAATATACAAAATGAAAAATGCCTCCTCTACCTAGACGATATCATTGTATTCTCAAGTTCACTCCATTAACACCCAGAGGTGTATTCCAAAGATTATGGGAATCCAACTTTAAAAGTCAGTCGGATAAGTCAGAATTTCTAAGGAAGGAAGTGGCCTATCTAGGACATGTTTTAACAGCAAATGCGGCGTCAAACCTTATCCCGATAAAATTAAAGCTATCCAGGAGTTCCCCATCCCAAATACGACGAAACAAATCAAAGGATATTTAGGTTTATTAGGATGTTATAGAAGATTCATAAAGAACTTTGCAAAAATTGCAAAACCTTTGACCAGTGTCTTAAAAGAGGAGCAAAGATTGAACAGAATTCTGAAATTGTCCAGTGCTTTGAAACATGCAAGTATCTACTGATTAATGAACCAATTTTACAGTAGCCGATTTTCCCAGAAGATTCAACCTAACTACAGACGCCAGTAATGTGGCTATTGGAGCTGTTTTATCGCAAGGACCAATTGGGAATGATTTATTAGTGGCTTATGCATACAGAACTTTAAATAATTTAGAAATAAATTACTCGACCATGGAAAAAGAGCTTCTTGCTATGGTTTGGGCCTCTAAATATTCGCAAGTACTCTATTTTATAATGAGCCTTTTGACTTGGAAACTCCTATAAAGAACCTTGATAAAGACCTGAATAAAAGGTCGAAACGTCGGCGAATTTTTAAATAAACAAGTTTTATTCGACTTCGTTCTTCGCCCACAACTTCTCTGCCACAATTAGTTCTTTGGAGGACACTGTACAGGGTGTACGGTGTGCCATTTAAAACGAAACAGGCTAAATATCTGATGCCACCTTTATTTTTTAAAAAATCGCTCGTACACGTAATTTGATTTTCAAACCATTTATAACACTTCAACTTTAACCTTCTAGGCGGGGTGGGACCAAACCTTACTGTTTCGAGTAGAACAAGGGGTCGAGTGATACCTCTTTTAGAAGAGCGTTCAATTCTCTTTCATTTGATGTCATTTGAAAGAAAATTGCACGCTCTCTCTATTAAAACAGGTAACACTCGACCCCCTGTTCCATTTGGAATTGTAAGGAAGGGTCTCATCCCCCCCCCTAGAGGGTTAAGTTAATTAGTGCTGAAAATGTTTCAAACACTCACACAATCAAATTTCGTGTACGAGCGATTTAAAAAAAAAAAATGAAAATGAGATATATATTTAGCCTGTTTCGTTTTAAATGGTAAATGTATATCCACTATCAAATATAATTAATTCACCTTACCTTTCCAAACATTCAAAATATTCTTCAACCGTTCCCTTTGCATTTTTCCTTCTCTGAACAAATTCTCCCTCAATTTTCGAATTCCTTTCACACCTTCATCTCTAGCATTTTTCCAATCTTCCAATAATTGGAATTCATTGGAATATTTCTCAAAAAGCTGCCTTAGTTTCTCTTGTAAAACATGTTCTAAACTAAACAACGGATGATGGAAAAATTTGAGCTGAGACACGGAAAATTCTAAAATGTTGTTTTTTATCACAACAACTTCTTGCATTTGTACTATTGGAGGCTTTGGAGGAAGGTAAGTTGTCAGTTTTCCATAGTTTTCCACAGAATTGGGTTTAAATGTTTGCAGAGTAACTGGATTGAATACATTTTTAATGGAGCGTTCCTGAATAAAATTGTGCCTATTGAAAAATGATAAATTGTCCTTTTCTGCTAGATTTATGTTGAATTTAAGATGCTGTGCTGGCATGTATTGTACCAAGAAGTCAATGTTTTCCTAAAATAAAAACTAGAAATTTAAAAGCAAGAAATATGAGGACTAAATATTATTAGTTACCTTTTCTGGATCATCAAAGTTAGAATTCATAAACAAAAAATCTCTTGTTTCATGTTTATTTTCCTCAAGTTGAAATTTGCTTCGTACTGACTTTATTTTTTCATCTATTTGGCCACTCTCGTTCCGAATTTTTTCCAAGGATTTTTTAAATTTATTCAACTTCTCATTTAATCTTAAAGATTTTCCTGGACTATAATTTTCTTGAGACAAAACATCATCGGAAAGTTCCGATATTGTCTCGGTGGTATCGTCTTCGTCATATTTAGTTGCTGGTTTTTTAACGGAAAATACGGAAGTTATGTCCCTGTTGTCGGATGTAGGACTTCTTGTAGGCGATAGAAATGGTGGAGAATGTACTTGATTGTGCCTTTTAAATTTTTTCAATCGGGCTGGCTTCTTTTTGGGGGATGTCAGGTTCGACATTTCGATTAGATCTTCCTGAAATGTGAATACAAATAAATCCAAATAATACCTACATTGTTATTTTAATTTTTCTTCCCCTTTTTAGAGTCTGAAAATTGAGGTTTTCATTCAAAAACTGTTTTGATTAGATTACAGATATACGGTGCTTAAATATACATAATATATTCTGTGATACCGTACAAGAAGTAAGTATAACTAGGTAGTTTTCGTGTAAAACCGATTATTTGTAATAGAGGCCCATTAGGTAAATACTTATTTCTTTCAATAAATTACCCATTTTAAAAATTATCTACATTAACAAAGTTCTCAACTGATAATAAATAAATAAATATTTCTTACCTTAGAACTATTCATTTTAAAGGTGAATCAACTGAAATTCAAAACACAAAACATATCAAGAAATTACAATGTTGATACTCTACAAAATTTCCATGGTAACCCATTTGAGTTTCAACGGTCGAGTGCGTTTAGTTCAAACATCGTGACGACAGAATACATATGCGTAATTTATTCTACCTACTCGCGGTAAAGTGCACTTTACTGAACTCATTTGCGTGTGGAAAGTAGCAGTTTATTGATGCAAGCTATGCAAATTGTCGATCGTAATGGATGCAGGATAAAGGAATTGGTAATGTTCACAAGAGAAATCACGAGCTTAGATGATTTTCTATACTCTATTTTTAACGTTAAAAATCTCTGGAAATGGGGAAGTTGTGCACAATCTTGCAACACTGCCTGATAACTAATAAATTCGCGAACGGTATTTATTCACTCCAGCGAATATCAGTTAATGGTGAACCCGAATAAGTTGATAGCGAGAAAATTAGTTGTGAATTTGATGAAATCTGGTTCATTTCTGTTGTATCTACATCTGTACTTATTTTTTCTGTTGATCTGTGAAGATATTTTGTTAAAATTTTATACATTTTTAAGTCCTTCTTCGTTCATTCTGACATAAAATATCCTCCAAAAAAAATTAACTTCTAATACGACGTCCCATCATTTTACCAAAAATATTTAGCGATATCAAACATAAATGCCTTCTTTGTTCAGGACTTCTTAATTCGCTATATGTATATAGCACAAATAACAATTTGTTATTTGTGCAATACTACAAATAACAATTTGTGCAATACTCACGGAACACCTTGAGTATTGCACCATTTTGCACCATAAATATTAAACTTTGCACCGCAACCCTTAAGCCGCTACAGGGGGTTGAAAGAGAAATAGTTTTCCCCCCCACGCCAAATTTCAATTTATAATAGCACAAATTGTTCTCCGAGTTTTGCACCAAAGTATTAAATTTTGCAAAGCAACCCTTAAGCATCTACAGGGGGTTGAAAGAGAAATAGTGCCAAAGTATCGGTGATGACGTAGTAGCGTGTCGTTTCTCGCCTTGACTTGCCTTGACGTAGGTGTCTGCACCACAGGCTATAATTCTGCTGGCGTCTGCTCTAATATTCTAAATTGCGACCGCTGGCGCAAACAGCCTGTCTGGTGCTACACCAGATGACCTTGAAATCAAAAAGAGGCCGATAAGCAATCCGTGTGTAGTGTGTATTATCCTTGGGTAAATTCGAGGGTAAATTGTATAGGGTTTTCAGCTGTGTTGGAACAAAGTTAATATGTCTCTTTCAACCCCCAGTAGAGGCCTAAAGGTTGCGGTGCAAAATTTAATATTTATGGTGCAAAATGGTGCAAAACTCGGAAAACAATTTGTGCTATTTTAAATTGAAATTTGGCGTGTGAAGGGGGCAACTATTTCTCTTTCAAACCCCTGTAGAGGCCTGAGAGTTGCGGTGCAAAATTTAATATTTATGGTGCAAAATGGTGCAAAACTCGGAGAACAATTTCTGCTATTTTAAATTGAAATTTGGCGTGTGGGGGGGGGCCAACTATTTCTCTTTCAACTCCCTGTAGAGGTCTAAGGGTTGCGGTGCAAAATTCAATATTTATGGTGCAAAATGGTGCAAAACAACTCGGAGAACAATTTCTGCTATTTTAAATTGAAATTTGGCGTGTGGGGGGAGCCAACTATTTCTCTTTCAACCCCCTGTAGAGGTCTAAGGGTTGCGGTGCAAAATTTAATATTTATGGTGCAAAATGGTGCAAGACCCGTAGAACAATTTATGCTATCATAAATTGAAATTCGGCGTGTGGGGGGGGCCATGGTTAATTTGGCCCCCCCAGTAATACTTCTATATAATCTCTCTCCTGAGGGGGTGCAAATTTTTTTTCGGGTGGTGCAAAACGGTGCAAAATGGGTGCAAAAAAATGGTATAAGTTTTAATGGATTTGGAAATATGGGGGGGGGGGCTAACTTAACTGACCCAAACTACACGTATCTGGAATGGCACCGACCGGTTATGGCATTTGTATGGCAATTGCACAGAACGTATCACCTCTAGAAAAGTATCTGCAATGTTATGTACCGGTTATGAATTACAGCGCCATCGTTGACTGAAAACCCAACTAATCGAGCATTCTTGACAAAAAGGCGAATTGATTTTTTTCATATATTATTATTATTTTTAAATAATTTTTAATGTTTAACTGCATTTGGCTTGCTGACTCCCTTTAGCTCTTTTCGCCTCATTTTTTTGAAAACTATGACTGGCAGGAAGTTCCCGATGTCGAACATAGTGCAAAAAGAGTTAGTAAGTTAGCAAGAGACACGCAGCTATAGGTAGATCGCAAAGTAAATACGAATAATAAATACAAATACGAACGAAACTAAACAAACGAGTAAATACAAAAAAATACGAACAAAAATTAGGGTTTTTTTCAACCAAAACTTTTTGAATTTTCACTTTAACGCACGTGTGACCATGGTTTACAACAACACAATTTAAAAATTCAAATTTTGACTTTTAAAATGACAAAATAAATGACAAAACCAACCAACACAAATCACTGTTCACACCACAGATACCTGTAAATTTCTCTTATCTCCCGACAGTGTCGCCATCGTTGACTAAAAACCTAACTAAAAACCTTCGTCGCGATTCTCCCATTTGAGATATTTTTCTATAGGTGATATGTTCTGTGGGTATTTGTCATCTCGCTTAGTGCGTCCAAAAAAGCTACATAGTGGGGTATCCCTTTCTCTCTTCAGTTCATTGCTGTTAGGTTTGGCATATTCCTAACCTCGAATAAAATATTTTTTAGACAAGGAAAGATTTCCATGATTCGCCAATAAGATAAATAGAGATGTGTGTACCCCACACTCTCCATCTCAATCTGCCGCAAATTTATAGATCGGCGGGCCATTCCAGGTACGTGTAGTTTATAGTTCATTGGGAGAACCAGATAAATTAGTTATCAACTGTCACTTTCGAAAAATTATAACCTAAAATTGTTAAAAAAAATAGGTATTCGGTTTGCGTTTCCGGTCTTTTTCCCCCAGATTTCTCTTCTACTTTTATTTCAGGTCCATTACTAATTATTTACTTAGGTACCTACTCGTTTACTAGGGAAATAAAATTGAAATCAATATAAAACAATTTTTTTTTTTAGATTAGTGACACTCTGTGACAAGGGTGTTCTTTGACAAGGGTTTCAGGATTTTTTTTCCATCTGCGTTTAGCCTAGTACTACAGTGGCTAAATAAACCTTTACATACAGTGGCGACAATAGAGGTTTCGCCGCCATCTTGTTCCCAACCTCTTGTTACTTTTAAATATTAATTATATAGGATTTAAAGGGACATCTATCATAAAAAATTGAAATCGACGTATTTGATGACCATTATTAGGTCCATCAAATACGTTGTTTTCCATGATTTATGATGAATGTTCAATGTTCACCTAAATCCCATATATTCATATTTAAAAGTAATAAGGGGTTGGGAACAAGATGGCGATGTTTTCAATAAAAATATATGGGATTTTAGAACCAATCAAAAATGAGACAGCAATTGTCGCCACTGTGGGTTATAGAGTCACTGTACCTAGTACCTACTCATAACTGCGAAATTCGCATTTTTTTTGACATTGCGTTGACAATTTGACGTTTGATACACGCATATAAAACGTCAAATTGTCAACGCAATGTCAAAAAAAATGTGAATTTCGCAGTTATGAGTACTAGGCTTTAGGGAGGATTTTCATGCATCCGTTTTTTCGTCGAAATATGTCCGAAAAGTCTTCTATTTTGACATATTTATATACGATTATATCAGAATAGAATGTTAAACGGACATATTTCGTCGGAAAAACGGATGCATGAAAATCCTCCCTAAGTCTTATGAACTTGTTCAAGGCGCACTCTGCGTATGACGTCACGATATCCATGCTCATACTGTTTCGCTCCGCGTGGAGTGCAAAGCCGAACTCAGCCTAATTCTCTCAATTTTTTTCCTTTGTGAAAGGCACATCCAGAGTTTGCGGGCACTTTCCAAATTTCACCGATAAATTGACCGGTTAAATAAACCGGTAGCTGTCAAAAAAATCCGGTAAAAGTTAGGTGTAAGTCCGGTTACAAGATTTTTCTGATGAATTTTGGAACGCTATGGCGTGTTAAAGTTTGGTTGTGACGGTTATGTTGTGACAATTTAACGAACAACTGCCCTTAGTGCCCATTCAAAGCAATTGATGTACGTCAAAAAAAAATGTCAAAAAATCTCCAACTGAAAAAACCGACAAAAATTCCCGGTGGATCCGGTGCGTCACCGGTTTCAAACAGCTGATCATTCCAGTCAATTTTGGAACGGACGATCTGGTTCAACCGGTAAAAAGTCGGTAAATTTTGGAACGGTTTGGTGAGTTAACTATTAAACCGGTATCGCACCGGTTCAAGAAACCGGTGAATTTTGGAAAGTGCCCTGCCTCTGCCTAAATCAGTCGCTGAAGCCAGATATAACCTGTTTCTGTCAAAACAAACAGCGTTTTCACGAGTCTTAGGGCGGCTTCTCATGAGCGTAATTTGACATTTATTGCGTGACAGCGTACCTGAATTCAGAATTCTGATTGGCCAAAATTCCGGCATATTGGATACGCTGACACTTGCCGCAG